TTCAAACCAACAAAATGTTTGTGTTAACGTCACCTCCCCCAGGGCTTTAATACCCCACTTGTCTGTTTCTCTTTATGGCAAAAATCCTGGAAAGAACAATAGTGGCTTCCTTACCTCCTGGTCCCCCTGGAATGGGAAGGCACTTCTCCACTGCTCCACCACAGTGCCACCTCGAGATGCCTTCCACATCGCACCTCACCTTCCGCCAGCTCCAGCCTCAGGGCAGCTCTTAGCAGATGGCCCTCACTCCATCCTCGGACACTCCTTCCCACCTGGCATCTCCATACCAGGATGACCCAGGACAGCTCCTCGATCCTCTCTCCCTCTGGATCTCACACTGACTCCCAGGTCACCTCCCGAGGTGGCCTTGCCTTTTGCCAGGCTCCCTCCCAGTAGCTCCACATGATGCCGGGTACCAAGCCTGTCACCCTCTTTGCCAGTCTCCCCAGAGAAGTGTTTCATCAAACACTGTCCCCTGCCTTTCAGCAGATGGCTTCAACTGTTCATTTCTAGTTTAAACAGCTGCAAGGGACACAATTTCCAGCATATCATAAACACTGACTTCTTAAAAGAAAACTGTCACATTACTCTGATAAACATTTCCATTGGAATCTAAGTACTAGGACATCAACATCACACTAGAAATTACCCTACTGATCCCCTATTGTAACTTTTTACAACATAAGTATGCATATAAATAGGATGAGTTCTGATTTTCTGTGGACATAAAATTGTGCTTCTTTCTTCTGAATGGAGCTATCATTAAAATAAGTACACCGCCACTGATGAAACAGAAAGATAGCCTACAGTTTGATGACCCTCCAACAAAAAAGCTGCCTCGAATGGAGCAGACAGGGCATTTCCCCCACCCATATCTTGGAATGCACGCCTCTGTTGCTATTCTTCTCAGATGTGAACACAGAGAAGCCAGTTCCCCACACATGGAGGTGGTGAAGGAGAGGCTTGGTTACAGCGCTGTCCCTCGATGCCTCATCCTCTAAGCTGCAAGTCAAAACTCGCAGTGACTGATCATCAAGGAGCCAGCCCAGCCCTCCTCAGCGTGGCATGGAGGTCCCCTTCAGGCTGCCAGCAGCCCGTTACCCACAGTATGGTCATGCCCCTGACACCCACACCCAGGTGGGACCGTGAGATTTCCACACTCTGGGGCCACGCTCACCCCAAGAACGGGATGGCCTGGAGTTCACTGAATGCTAGGAGGAGCCCTTTTTTAGGAGGAGCCACTTGAGAATGCACAGGTGAGGACCAAGCACCTGGACCAAGGCGTCTCCCAACCCAGAGGGGCAGTTTGAAGATGCTGGTCACAGGGACAATGCCCCCTGGCACAGCTGTCCTTCATCTCAGCACATAGCACCTCAAGTCACCTACTGTGACCCCCACCACACCAGCAGCAAGGCCTGCTTCACTCTAGAGACACCAGGAAACTTTACAAAGTTCATAGAAAAATGGAATTAAAGTATAAGTTTATTTTGGTGCAAAAGGGTTTTCAAACCCATGCATAGTTTTCCTTAATATGCATTCTCCATGGACATCTGGAAGACCCCGGTACTTGGTCCTGACTCATCTGCCCTCTGCCCCCCACCCTACTTCCAGTGCAATGGTGTGGGGTCTGGATTCCTATGATGCCACTGTGGCTGTCCCTAGTGGCAGCCCCGGGGCCATCACTATGACTCCGATCCTGTCTCAGACTATCCACAGCCTTCAGTGACACCTGCCTCATACTGAGAATAAGAACTCTGTCTGGTGCACGGCCCTGCTGCCTCTTAGGTCTCTGGAATCCTTAAGACAAGCTTATTACCACCCCAGAGCCTTTGCATGTCCATGCATCTGCCTGTGACACACTCACTCCACCTCCACTGAAGCTCCCAGCCAGATTAGTCTCCAATCAAATGCCCTCTCCTTGAACAGACCTTCTAGGCCTAGCTCCCTGCCTGTGCCCACTGCTGCCCACCCAGCAGCCCCCACCTGCTTTCCCTCTTGCCTTTTCTTCAAACTCCTTCCACTATCTTCCCTGGTGGTTGCATTGCTTATTGTCTAATTCCTCCCCTCCCCCGCCCTGGACCATTAGGCCCACCAGGCACAGGCTTCTCTCTGGTTCACCACAGTGCTGCGCAAATCACTGGTGTTTAGTATTTGTTGAATGACTGGATGGCTGGATAAAGGCAGGCATGAACACTAGGAGGGGAAGTATGTAGAATCCACCCATACTTTGCAAACAAGAAACCAAGTCATTGCTCACAACCTTAACCTCTGAAATCATAGGTGTTAAACAGTTGCCTTAAATCGTAACATGCCTAGAGCGTTCTTTCCTGGCTTTTTGCACAGACAATTATACCAACTTTGCTTTTCTAAAATAATGTGAGAGCATATCCAAAGTGAAGAGAATTCCTTCTCAAAAACAATTATTGGGGAACCAGCAGTTAGCGTAATGGCTATGTCGCTGGACTCCCACGTAGTCGACCGTGGTTCATGTCCCGGACCCGGTGGCTTAAAACTCACGCCAGGCGCGTGTGCATGCGTGCCCAAGATCCCGAGAGGAGAATGGAGGAGAAGGGATTGCGGCGTGACCATCCCCCGGGGAGGTAATTTCTCGCTTTCTGTCTCTATGTTTCTCTCTGTCTGTCTGGCGAGCGCATGCGCCCTATAGCGAAAAAACCTCTCCAAATAAAAAAAAACAAAAAACAATTATTGTAAGAAAAACTATTAGCCTTCTGATGGTAGTTCATGTTTTAATTCATTTGTTTGTCTTCTGGAGAAAGAACTGTCCTTTTTCCTTCTATAACTGAATGTATTTCTTGCTGGCAATCTTTCTGCAAAAATATGGGTCCAGACGCAAGGAGAAAAATGAATAAACTAAACTTGAAAACTTAGCATTTTTCACCTTGAAAACCCAAACGGTGGCTTAAAACTCACGCCAGGCGTGTGTGCGTGTGTGCGTGCGTGCCCAAGATCCCGAGAGGAGAATGGAGGAGAAGGGATTGCGGCGTGACCATCCCCCGGGGAGGTAATTTCTCGCTTTCTGTCTCTATGTTTCTCTCTGTCTGTCTGGCGAGCGCATGCGCCCTATAGCGAAAAAACCTCTCCAAATAAAAAAAAACAAAAAACAATTATTGTAAGAAAAACTATTAGCCTTCTGATGGTAGTTCATGTTTTAATTCATTTGTTTGTCTTCTGGAGAAAGAACTGTCCTTTTTCCTTCTATAACTGAATGTATTTCTTGCTGGCAATCTTTCTGCAAAAATATGGGTCCAGACGCAAGGAGAAAAATGAATAAACTAAACTTGAAAACTTAGCATTTTTCACCTTGAAAACCCAAACTATAGCACTCCTATTTCTTAACCATTCCCCATAAGGCAGCAATGTCAGGGAATCCAGGAATGCACAGTGAAAATGTGGAGAATGAGCAAATACCCAGGTTTGGAACAAAATATGGCAGTGGTGTGCACATGGGTTGGAGCGGGGTGGGGAATCTCTTCACTTGTAAAAACAAAGTATTCAAAATCTCATCCATCCTAGGGAGAATTGTCACTGTTGGCTTTTAAAGTTTATCACAAAACCAGTTGTTCCTTTACTTTTCATCCTTAAAAATACTTTTGGGAACGAAGCTATGTTCTCCAGCTCTTATATGGTGAGCCTGAGATTTTTTTATGAGAGGCTTGGGCAAATGTGGTTTGGTAAAACTAGAGATGGTAGCTTTAAGTATGTACAGAGGTCTGTGTGTCTCTGATCACATGCGCTTCTTTCTGCTGTTTCTACCCTTTACTACCTTTGGGACCAGGGTGGAGGGACAATTTCTGAGATTTTGTGAAAAAGAAAAAAAAAAACCTATCCCCTACATTAGGGACTTAAGAAAGGTTCATCACAATAACTATAACTATTAGATAGTAGTCCTACGTGTTTTCATTTCCTTCTTCTCAAAATCAACCTCTGCTGACACCTCCCTCTCTCTCCCAGTGGCCACATGTGGCCCTGGTCCCCACCTGTCGCGCCAGGCCTGAGCCTCACTTACGCCGCCAGGGCGAGCCCCTTCCCTGCACAGTCACCCACCCGAGGACAAGCACGTGTCACCTGTCCCTCGCCTGTGCACACCGCCCACGACCACAGCCCAACCGCTCACAGCCGAGCTACCACCACCCCCATCTCGATCCCTTCCCTCTGCCACCCAAAGACTCATGACAATTAAAAGCAGGGCTCCAAGGGGATGGGCATCGCCCGCCCGGATTTTGCTTTTCTAAAGGCAGGTGGGGGGTACCCTCCCTCGTGCGTCCCCAGGGGTTGCACCCGAAGACCTGGAGAGCAACGAGGGTGCCCACAGGCGGGGCCAAGGGGACACAGGTTGGGGGCAACGGAGACCCCGCGCTGCGCCCAACGGTAAGCGTCGTCCCGTTGCGGCCCTGCTCTGGGCCCAGTTGCGCACGATGGGTGCTGGGTGATGGGTGCTGGGCGCTAGGCCGTGAGCTGTGGTCAGGGATTTTAGGCGGTGGGCCCGGCCGTGGGCGGTGGTGGGAGGCTGTGAAGGAGGGCTGTGCCATGGCCAGAGGGTAACGGTGCGCGGGGGGCTGTGGTCAGGGGCGGTGGGCCCGGCTGTGCGCAATGGCCGGGGGTCGGTGGGCGCTGGTAGGGTGGGCTTCACGGTGTGCAGTGGTCAGGGGCCGGTGGGCTCGGCCATGGTAGTAGGAACTGGGTGGTGATCTGTGGTCGGGGGCGGTGGGCGGTGGGTCGGGCCTTGGTCGGGGCGATGGGCGGTGGTCGAGGGCGGTGGGCACGGCCGGCCCGGAGCGCCCGCGGCGGCGGCGGG